TTAGCTAGAGAAGACCTTACATTTCACTTAAGTCTTTATTTTATGCATAAGGAAATTTATGAATAAGGAAATTGGCTTAAATAGTAGCCAATTTTATTAAGTTGAACTATATGCAGTTGGCTATTACAGGTCAAAAATGGTTAAATATCAGCAATTCTATATAGTTTATACTGATACTTTTTGGACTTTAACACAGAAAACTAATTTTATGTCACTTAAAACTAGTTTTACTATCATTTGACCCAAACCCCAAATTTTGAAGTGTTGACATTTTACGTACTTCCTATGTATGTTTAGTACGTTGGTGAGAGTGAACGTGCTGTGCGACAAATTTTTCAACGAGCCAAGAACTCAGCACCCTGTGTGATATTCTTTGATGAGGTGGATGCTTTATGTCCTCGAAGATCAGATCGAGAGGTAAGTATCATGGATTAGTGGTTTACAGATTCTTTTAGCACAATAAACCTTTTCTAAGTTCCAAGCCAGGTATTTCTTGCATCCCTTGGGAACACTGAGACGCTTAATGAAGACACCTGGTAATTTGAAATCACAGCTTAGAAATAGCAGTTGTATTCTGTATCTGCCTCTGCATCCATTTTTTCCCTGTATATTATTTTGGTTGCACAATCTGTAGGTCATCCTAATTTACACAAATGAGTAGGTGAGTATGGAAATGATTAGTTTTAAATAGCTTGCCGTATTTATAATCTTGTAATCCTACAATATTCTTGAGTTAAATGGGTTCGTGAGACAAGAAAAAATACAATTTAAGACATCGTGCACTCAAAATAGGGTCAGGTTATTGACGTTAAGACCCAATACCTTTTCTGTTAAAGTGAGGACATTAAAATGAAGGAGATAAAAAAAAGAGCCAACACCCATTAAGATATAAAATTGATCTGCCTTGAATACCACTTGAGTCAGCCACACTGAGTCACAGTCCTTAGAGATTTCAGTACAGAGTACCAGAAACAGTTGTTATTAGGAGTTCCATTATATAAGAATTTGAAGCTTAGTGAAACATAACGTGAACTCTGTGTGTGTGTGTGTGTGTGTGTGTGTGTGTGTGTGTGTGTGTATAAACCTTTTTGAAGGAGGCAGCAACTATTGTTTTATAAGTACATTTCTTGTAAGATGACTGAGAGAGTGGTTACCTTTCTGAAACCTAGGAAATAAATCATTTGTGATTTACTTTCAAATAGGTGTGTGTGTGTGCGCACGCGTGCGTGCGTGTGTTTTCTTAGGTCTTAAAACATTTATTACCTGCCTCATTTTGCTAAAAATCTCCAAAAATATTCAAAAGTCACAAAAACAAAAGCTGACTGACATAAATAAATAAATAAATGTGCCTCGCATTATTGTGGTTTTGTTTCCTTGTCCAGTAGTTATTGATACCATCACAGAAAATTCTTATTATAGGCTTATCTTTGATAGTGATGTCAGTGACTGAGTCACAGACCCTTCCCAGGTTCCCCAGTCATATTCCAAAGTCTGCTGTGGGCTGTAGAGCAAAACACGGCACTTTGATATCTGTTTAGGGCACAACATGCTCTGGATTTTATTCCTTTCCTTTTTATTCCTGTCTCTTCTGCCATGAATAAACCCTTTATTTGTCCACAGCCCCTTCATTGGTTTGCAGCTCTCTACTGTCAGCTGATAAATCTAAATTTGGAGAGGTTCATTGTCAACTGTTGCCCTCAAAGAAGTTTATAGCCGTATGAAGTACATGTCTCACTTCTGGTTTATCTCTCCCTCTTTTTTTTTTTTTTTTTTTAAGGAATAAAGAATGGCTGCTCCATAGGCAGAGCAGCCTTATCTGTTTCTTGGATGTCAGCCGTCATACCTTTTTTTTTTTTTTTTTTTTTTTTGAGTTTTTTTTTTTTTTTTTTTTTTTTTTTTTTTTTTTTTTTTTTTTTTTTAATTGAGACAGAATCTTGCTCTGTCATCCAGGCTAGAGTGCAGTGGTGCTGTCTCAGCTCACTGCAACCTCTGCCCCCCAGGTTCAAGCAATTTTCCTGCCTCAGCCTCTTGAGTAGCTGAGATTACAGGCTCCTGTCACCACGCCCGGCTAATATTTGTATTTTCAGTACAAATGGGGTTTCACCATGTTGCCAGGCTAGTCTTGAACTCCTGGTCTCATGTGATCCACTGGCCTTGGCCTCCCAAAGTGCTGGGATTACACGCTTGAGCTGTCATGCCTACCCTATTGCCATACATTTCTATACTCTGATATATATGGTTTTCTTTTCTTTTCTTTTCTTTTCTTTTCTTTTCTTTTCTTTTCTTTTCTTTTTCTTTCTTGAGACAGAGTCTTGCTCTGCCTCCCAGGTTCAAATGATTCTCCTGTCTCAGTCTTCCAAGTAGGTGGGACTACAGGCGTTTGCCACCATACCTGGCTAATTTTGTATTTTAGTAGAGACGGGGCTTCACCGTGTTGGCTAGGCTGATCTCGAACTCCTGACCTCAGGTGATCCATCCACCTCGGCCTCCCAAAGTTCTGGGATTACAGGCGTGAGCCACTCTGCCCGGCTATGGTTTGGTTTAATAACATTTTCACCTAAAGCAGATTCTTTTTTTTTTTTTTTGCCTGTACCTCGCCGGCCCTGGGACAGGCACGGCCACCCGCTGCCCATCTCCTGGGCCGCCGAGGACTGTTCTACCCCTCCGTTCTGGCCACCAGAAGCAGAGGAGCTCAGGGCAGGCAAAGCTCGAGGGGACCTAAAGCAAATTCTAAATTTTATTTACATTTGTTTTTATTTATTTATTTGTTTATTTTTGAAATAGTCTCACTCTGTCACCCAGGCTGGAGTGCAGTGGCGTGATCTCTGTTCTCTACAGCCTCTGCCTCTGGGTTCAAGCAATTCCCATGCCTCAGCCCCTTGAGTAGCTGGGACTACAGGCTCGCGTCACCACACCCAGCTGATTTTTTGTATCTTTTTTTAGTAGAGACAGGGTGTCACCATGTTGGAAAGGCTAGTCTTGAACTTCTAACCTCAGGTGATCCTCCTGCCTCAGCCTTCCAAAGTGCTAGGATTACAGGTATGAGCCACCACGCCTCGCCTCTAAAAACATTTTAAATATGAATGTATTCTGTTTTAATTACACTAGTTATACATGAATACATGCTTGTGAAAAATTCAAATAAAGCACATATATAAAGAGAGTAAATTTCTTTGCAATCTCGTCCATATTACTCTTCTTGGAGGTTATTATGAGACTGCCGATAGTTTATCATTTAGTATGTATCATTCTAGAACTTATTCCACGAACATAAAAACATGTATAGTTTACACTTCTGTTTTGTTGTTGCTGCTGTTGTTTGAGACAGGATCTTACCCTGTCACCCAGGCTGGAGTGCAGTGGTGTGATTGTAGCCCACTGCCTGATGCCTTGAGCTCCTGGGCTCAAGCAGTGATCCCTCCTCAGCTGCCTGAGTAGCTAGGAGTGCAGGTGTGTTATCACCACACCTAGCTAAGTTTTTGTTTTTAGAGACGGGATCTTACTTTGTTGCCCAGGCTTGTCTTGAACGTCTGTCCTCAATTGATCCACCTGCCTCAGCCTCCTAAAGTGCTGGGATTGCACCACGCCTGGACCTAGGCTTTTGTTTTTTTATTAAAATGTAGTCATTCTGTCTTGATGACTTTCTCATGTATGTAATAACTTAAAACAATATATTGTATAATCCTCAGTCTGGATACAGCAGAGTTTACTTAGTAATTCTCCTGTTTTGGATGTTTAGATTGTTTCCAGTTGATTCTCTTACAAACAGAACTCTACTGATCTTGTGTCACGTATTTGTATGCACCTGTGGTGGGACTATGTGAGATATAATTTTGGAAGTGGAAACCAGGATTGAAGATTGATATATATTAGATTTTGAAAGATAATGCTATATCATCCTTCACAAAAACTATCAGTTACATGTGCCCACCAACAATTTGTGAAAATAACCATTTCCTATCAACAATGGATTTTACCCATCTTTTTATTTTTTGTCAGTTTTATTAGCAAATCATATTACATTTTAATATACATATCCCTGATTACCATGAGGTTGACTGTCTTCAGTAATTTGAAATTATATTTTTGAGTATGGATTACAATTCTGTTAGTATTATGTTCCCAAGGAGTGATAATAAGGGACACCAAATATTTTTTATCTGGAGAAATCAGTAGAGTAAGCTGGGCATGGTAGCTCATACCTATAATCCCAGCAGTTTGGGCAGCCAATGTGGGCGGATTGCTTGAGTCCAGGAGTTCAAGACCAGTGAGTAACATGGTGAAACCCTGTCTCTACCAAAAAAATAATAATAATAATAATAATAATAATGATACAAAAATTAGCCAGGTGTGCTGGCCCATACCGGTAGTCCCAGCCACTTTGGAGACTGAGGAAGTAGGATTGTTTGAGCCTGGGAGGTAGAGGTTGCAGTGAGCCAAGATTTCACCACTGCACTTCCAGCCTAGGTAACAGAACGAGACCATTGTGTCAAAAAAGAAAAAAAGAAAAAAAGAAAAGAAAGAAAAGGAAATCAATGAGGTAAGCCCATTATAACCTCTGTACATAAAACTTATGCTGAAGAAAAGCAATTAATGACCAAAAACACAACACCACTTTTCTCATTTTCTTCATTTAAAACGTTATTGTTTCTATATCTGAGTGGTTTATCCTCTAGTTACCAATTCCCTGAATCTCTCCTTTCCCTTCAATATTGCTGAGGTAGCTGTACTTGGTATTATTTGCTTCAAGGAAAAGAGAAAATGCCTCAGTGTTCCAGATACTTTTGTATGTAGTGCACTAAAAAGATCTAGAACACCTGGCTGGTCTGATGGTGGTGGCTTATCAGAACTTATTAACATTAGTGTCATCCAGGTGTGGTGGCACAAGCCTATAATCCTAGCACTTTGGGAGGCCGAGGCAGAAGGATTGCTTGAGCTCAGGAGTTTAAGACTAGCCTGGGCAATATAGCAAGAGGATCTCTAGAAAAAATATGAAAATTAGCCGAGCATGGTGGCATGTACCAGTAGTCCCAGCCTACTCAGGAGGCTGAGGTGGGAGAATTGCTTGAGCCCAGGAGGTCAATGCTGTAGTGGGCTGAGATCATACCACTGCATTCCAGCCTGGGCTACACAGTAAAACCCTGCCTCAAAAAAAAAAAAAAAAGTCTCGCCAAAGTTGATATACAAACCCCCACTGTTAAATTTGACTGGCTTTAAAAATAAAGTGAGATCTAGAATACGTGATATACTAGGAAATTTGGGTTTCAAAAGCTTAGTGTAGGTGGGGTGCAGTGGCTCACACCTATAATCCTAGCACTTTGGACTGCTGAGGCAGGAGGATTGCTTGAGGCCAGGAGTTCAAGACCAGCCTGGGCAGCATAACAAGACCCTGTCTCTACCAAAAAAAAACAAAAGCTAGCTGTAGATTTGCCCCAAAGGAAGTTTATTGTGACAGCTAGATCTTTGAGTAACTCAAAAACATCAGTCCTTGGGATCCACTTGGCCTGATGTTGAGTTTCATCTCTTCCTTTTTCTAGTGGTGAGAACTTGAACAATAACCCCTCTAAGCCTCAGTTTCCTCATTTAGACTGTGGATAATAATAGGATTTCTGGGAAGGTCCACATGAGAACACATTTTGCATGGTGTCTGCATATAGTGACTCCTCAGAAAATAATCATTGTTATCTCTTTTGAGTTGGCAAATGTATTATTTTTATGGGGAAGAAATTTTTTTTTTTTTCTTTGTATTGAGAGCTGATGGAACCAGATATATTTCTTTTTAGACAGGGGCAAGTGTCCGAGTGGTGAATCAGCTACTTACAGAGATGGATGGTCTGGAAACACGCCAGCAGGTTTTTATTATGGCAGCCACTAACAGGCCAGGTAAGAAATAAAAATATAACACAGATGAATCTAGAAACTTGCAGCATTTCCATATAAGAGATTCAGATAATTAAAAATAAAAACTTTGAGCATTTATAAACAATATAATTCACATGCATCCTAGGAAAGGAAGATTAAATTTGAGCAATCCCTTTTTGGTTCTCTGAAAGGAAACTTTATAGGTTGAAATAAACACTTAGAAAGCTTTTGCATAGGACCGGGCATGGTAGCTCACAGCTGTAATCCCAGCACTTTGGGAGGCTGAGGCCGGCGGATCACAAGGTCAGGAGTTCAAGACCAGCCTAGCCAAGATGGTGAAACCCCGTCTCTACTAAAAAATACAAAAAAGTAGGCAGGCATGGTGGCAGGTACCTGTAATCCTAGCTACTCAGGAGGCTGAGGCAGAGAATACCCAGGAGACAGAAGTTGCAGTGAGCCGAGATCATGCCACTGTACTCCATCCTGGGCAATAGAGTGAGACTCCCTCTAAAAAAATTAAAAATTAAAAAAAAAAAAAAGTTTTGCATAAGCTATGGTAAAAAGCATAGTATTACTACTTGGATCCCATGAGATTGCTTTTCTGTGTTGGTACTTAGAAAACTCTTTTTGGGCTGGGCGCAGTGGCTCACGCCTGTAATCTAAACACTGGGAAGCTGAGGTGGGTGGATCACTAGAGGTCAGAAGTTTGAGACTAGCCTGGCCAATATGGTGAAACCCTGTCTCTACTAAAAGTACAAAAAGTAGCCGGGCGTAGTGGCACATGCCTGTAATCCCAGCTACTTGGGAGGCTGAGGCAGGAGAATTGCCTGAACCCAGGAGGTGGAGGTTGCAGTAAGCCAAGATTGCGCCATTGCACTCCAGCCTAGGTGA